TCATTAGCAGGGAGTCTTTGCATAGAAATACACAGAATTCCTCTCAGATCCCAGTGCTATTAATCATGTCTGTCAAAACAACTCAATGTAAACACTGTCATGCTTTGTGGTCTTTGTTAGTCTGGCTACCATACATACAGACAAAAAAGGAGCTGACTGCTATGGCCATTGCCAGCCAAAGCTTTATGACCTGTCCTGCTTGAGATCACTGATCAACTGCTGGTCAACACCATTGTGTCTAGCAGAAAACATTGTGTCAAGCTTCCAACACTCTGCAGTCTCGTTTTATTCCTTGAAGGGGTGTATTTGTGTTGCCAGAGCACAAATTACTGTAACATAGAATTCAAAGGCATGTCTACTGCTTAATATAATGCAAAACGCACTATATGACACTATTGCAAAGTCACACAAGACTACACACAGTACCAGCTGACAACATTAAACAATTTTAGTATGCACTGCTGTATTTCTAATCTAAGGTGTTTTATCTGTTTTGTTCCTAATAACCCCACTAGTTCAACAGTTTAAATTTAGACAAAAATTCATATTACAGTAGCCTCATAATTTGTTTGACCACAATCTGATCAGTGAAACACCTGTTGGGACTCCCACCTAAAGGTGATAGAGCAATAAAAGTCAATAGCTGGCTGAACATAAGAAAACCAGGCATTGGTGCCTAAATGGCAGGACAGAAACATCCTTGAGTTTGTAAACAAAGCCCTGGCTTGTCTGTAAGAGTTTGCCAATGCCGTTACAGATTATGTTACTGTGAGAGACACTACTTGAAGCCAGTACTCCATCTGCTAAAAAAGAGTCGTTTGAGCTCCAAAGTAAAGCATACACACCTCTCAAAACTGCAACCAAAGGTTACTGGACTGACAACTATTTAGATCCATCAAATGTGACCTTCTTGACACTTCAACACAGAGAACATCTCTGCAGGGAGAAGGAAGAGGGAAAACTGAGTAAACCAATGAAAAAGAATTTGAGCATTGCAGCTACCGAAGCACAGGAGGAAACTTGGTTACATGCCACAGAACTCCATGGCATTAGGTTAAATGCTAGTGTACTTTATTGGACTGTGCATATGGTGTGTCATTCCCTGCTGCTGAGGGCTCCACCTGCAATTTTTATTGTACATTGTTTTATTCTCGACTATCTATGTCGTCATGTCATACTGTCTATGCCAAGAAATCCTGGTTTGCCTGCTTCGAATGGGCCAGATAAAGAAATCAAATGTAAGAGTCATGTGCGCGATCGCTACGGGGCACCCGAGGGTCACATTCACCCCAATGTACGAAAGAGGGAAATTTGATGCTCCCAAAAATTGTCATGATCAATACTGGTTTAAAAAAAAGAGAAAAAGGTGGTCAGGTGGATAGTAGGCTACCTGTAGGTAGGTTTTTTCCTTCCCGATACCGATTGTGATAGCCAAACAGAGTACCGATCCGATACATGTGCTTTAATGAGCCTATATACATGCACACATATCATTTTATTTTTTTAAATGCATATACTACTAAGCCTGTATGACTGCTTTTATTATTTAATGACCCCAGGTAAACTCTTTGTCAGAGTTAAGAGTAGGGCGGGTTGTGACTTCAATATCATGGGGGAAAAATGACGAATGGGACACTGCTGGGAAGTAGCAGGCACAGGCCGCCTTCCATGGAGGCTACAATGTTTCTATAGTAGCCCAGAATAAAAATAGCAGGCAAGGGAGTTGCAATCTGCAACTACACCACTAGATGCCACTAAATCCTACACACTCGTTGTTTAAAGCCATGCAGCAAAAACAAAACATGCTTATATACAACTGTGTGATACAAATAGGAGCAAACCTCCCAGTTGGTCCCCGTCAGTTTCCGACTTAAGATTTTACCCTTGGTAACAGTGCAACTCAAACATTTTTAACACATGTAAACCAGACTGGCCCCACAGCTCCCTACTCAGACATTCTCTTGTTTTTCTGTTGACACAGCAGCTCAGTGGTGCATTGATCTGGGCAACAGTGTGGCCACAAAAAGAAGAAGAAGTCATCGCCATGTCCAGATGGCAGCTATGCCGTCATCTGGTGACATCACACCACCAGAGTCAAGACCCAAGGAGAATAAGAGGACCCGCAGGGCTACAGCCAAGGTAGAAGTAAAATCTGTAGGAAGGGCAGCTGCTGGTGTATCAAAGGGTTTTAGATCCAAATTATTAAACCTTGGAAGTGAAGCATGCTTTGAATGTGGACTGAATGACGTAAAAATAAATAAAGGAATAATAAATAAAGGCCATGAAGGTATTCAGTCAATGCCTCTTTTCTATACCTCTCTCACTGTATACTAATGTTTGCCAACATAAAAAAGAAAAGCTCCTTAATGTTGCCTGCAAAAAAATATTTATTTATTATACTATTTGGTAGTATATGTCCAATCTAAGTATTCAAATTCTGTGGCAGAGAAGCTGCAATCACACATGCTGGCACCAGTGTCACTGTGCCCCAAGGGACTAGCCTGGTTAACACCAACAGTGCACCTGTGAAACATGATACATGCAAGCTTGTTAACGCAGTCAAAACAGTGGCTGAATGACTTTGAGATTCCCTCCGACATGTTTTTCTGTTAATTTTAACATAGGTCCAAGAATACATCCAGCATCTCTGCGTGTTCTTCTGATGACCTCAAACAAAAATACAAATCACAATGCATGTGTGTTGGTTTTCAAAGTAAACGTGTTTCTGTAACAACAATAATGACATCACAGGGTGAAGAAACGACCTTTCAGTATGGTACTTTTTTTGCACAGAGCAGCAAAAAGAGGTTAAGAGGACCAACAATAGAGGAGTGGGTGTTTAGTAAACAAAGACTGACTGTTAGACCTGCTGGACAAGTGCTGATAGTATCTATCCTCACATAGTACAAGCCAACTCATTATTAGTGTTTTTTTAGTTTAATATCACACACTTAATTCTAAAGAAAATATACTTCTTAATCAAACTCACTTGCTCAGCCCGCCCTCCCTTATAAAACTCATTCACCCACACATTTTCTCTGTGCGCAAAGCTCTGCAAACCGCTGCTCATGACAAGCAAATGTTGTCTGTGTGCTTCTCTCGCTCTGTCAACTCCCTCTGGCCGTGACAACAATGTGATCATGAAAGTAGCGCTCAAGCAGAAATATATTTGATTTTCATGTTCAGCACCGTGCTAATACAAAGGAAACACAGACTTCTTTCACTTTTATCTGTGCAGGTTGAGGTGCAGGTTTTATAGGAGGTTTTGTGTATAGCAATGTACAAAAGTACATGAGTGGGAGTAAACCTAACTCTTGTGGCTTATCATCTGTTTTTGCCTCCTTGATCTAAACTGCTGCTATCGGATTAATTTTTGATTCTAGTCTTTATTAGTATTTAGCCCAACAAAAACTAATAACCATAATAACAAACAAAAAAAATGACATGACAAAATATTACAATTACAACAGAAAAATATCGTTTGGAGCAAACAAACCAGAGACTGCTGTCTTCACATTACAGTAAAGCTTTGAACTTTGAAATTGCCTAGTTTGAGTCCTAAGATATAAACTCTCTACACACTAGTAGCGTCTGCTATAACCAAACATTTCCCTCTGGCGATGAGGAATGAGGGCAAGCATGGCAAACACTTGGTTGAAAAACATTTGACAGCTAAATTATGCATCCTCACATATGGCGGGATAGAATCTTGGTCTAACTGAGGTTGAAATGGTTAATGATTGGCCTGGAGGGAGCCTGCATGACTGAATGTATGAGGACATGGGCTGTTTCTAAAGCAACAAATGGCAGTCATTTGGGCTTCCTTGTTGTTTCAGTGAATTTCATGTCCACAGCTGTTTGATTGTTGTATTTCTTTTCATTGTTATATCTTTTATATATTGTGCATAATGAGTGGTGACTGAGATAGCCTGAGGCCTAACCTACTTCCCACCCACAGCAATGACAACAAGTGGCCTACAGCCAATAATAACAAAAAATAATAATAAATATTCCAATACATTTTTACATGTAGAATATATAGAATATATTGCATTCCGATATTCATTTTTATATTTTCAAGAACCTTTCTTCTTTCATGTGGGGTGTCACAATGGAGCACCTGAGACCACTAATATATTGTATTTAAAACAAACAAAACTCAACAAGATGAAGGTCACATTTATCCCCATTTTGCTTTGCTAGTAGAGTACATGCAAGTGTGCAAGATATACAAAGGACAGACTGGACAGCTGACCGAACTGGCAGTCTGAACTGCAATGGGTTCCACAACAATGGTCACGGTCCACCTCGGCCCGTCTTAATCATACACACAAAGGAAGCTTGTCACTGCGTTCTTGAAATATTAATGGGACTGAAATCTTCCGCTCTCTCTATCTTGCTCCCTCTCTCTCCCTCAGAGAGAGAAGCAGCCATAGCTCTATGATAGCACCTAGTCTCTTACAGGTGCTATCGAATGACAGACCAGCTGACCGGGCTACAGTGGCAGCTCTCATGCCTGCCTGCTTGTCTTCCTGCCTCAACAGGTTGACTGACAGTCTGCTGTGGGAGAGGATCCATGTGACAATCCACACATGCAAGTAGCTAGGATGAAACCCTAAACGTAATGCTCATTCACAACCACATGTCTGAGCTATAGGGTTGAACAATGAGTCCAATAATGCATTAGTTTTATCATTCTAATATTGCTATCTGTATCATAAGTATGAAGGATGTCTGTGAGTCACTCACAGGCAAAAGGGCCTCCCTGCGAACAGCCTTCAGGAAGCTGTTGCTAAATTTTGATGTAATCAATGACGGCTGCAAGAGCTGACATCTTGGCCATGGGGTTAACTTTACCAATGCATGGCCAGCATCATGTCAGCACAGACAACAAATCAGACCTGACCTCTGGTGGAGATTTAAGCTTCAGTATGGTGAAGGATTACTTCTGAGCAGCAGTAAGTGCCCCAAACTTGTGGGAAAATGCCGAACTTTGTTACCTTGACGATTGGGTGGCCACCGGACGCTGCTTTGACAGCTCCTCGACTGCCCTCGGTCTCATAGTGCGCTCGGTGATGGGCTTTGGGTTGCATCTCTATCTTCAGGTCATACTGGCCAAACTGGCTTGGCAGCGGCCAATCTAGGGGAGGCAGTGAGGAGGTTCTGAGGAGAGAATACCACAAGAATAAACACACTCACCCACACAAAGAGGAAGAGTATATTAGAGCTTTGATATGAAACAATTAGAACATACAGTGGAAAAATGTGTGGTTGTAGTAATTGGTGCATATAATTTAATAACAAACTGGCCTGAAGCTTAGGACCAAGAGAGCATAGAATCTTGTCAGTGATGAGGAAAGAACATTTTAACAGCTTTAACAGTATAACTTTCCCTTAGAAAATGTCCTTCAGACTTTCCATATTTCAAATGATTGTGAATTTGTACAGACATAGTAATCCATGGGCCATCAAAGCTCACAGGGTCGAGCAAGACAACCTCTCGCTTTACTTTATGGATGATGACAACCACTTTAAGGCTGTCTGAAAACATTCAAAAGCTGAGAAAGTGGTATTCCCCTATACTGCCTCAGACAGTATAATAGGTGTAAATGGGGGTATAACATGCAGTATACTTAGCCCCACCAGACAGTGAATCACTGGAATGCCCACATGCATTAATCCTGTTCTTAAACACTTTACACTTGTAATAGGTCATATTAAGATTTTAAGGGTGAATCATTTTCTAGGGGGGGCTTTTCTTTGTGAGTCGTCTTTGTGGGTCAGTGAATGGTGGTGGGTGGGATGAGAGTGTGTCAGGCAGTGGTTAATTACGCTGTGTGTGTGTGTGTGTGTGTGTGTGTGTAAGTCTGTGTGTATACTGTACAAGTGTATATTTTATGCATAGTGCACCCCACGGGCTGGCGTTGTGTGTTTTTCCTCCCTGCCTCTTTTTTTTTTTTTTTTATCTGTGTAGGCCACAATCATATTTGAACAGCTGCACTCGAAAATATAACACTCAGTGGCCTTCTCCACAGAGAAACTGGGCCTCTCCATCTGAGTGCATTAGTTCAATTTATCCCCAAAACATTTTGTAAACACTGGCATCAACTATTAGCATCAACCAGGCCATAACCTTTTCCAAATGTTGTTGTATTTATTGTTGTTGATTAGAATTTAATTAATTATATTTAAGTACAATCCCCACAATCCACTCAAAATAATGATTTTGGAGTAAATTGTAAATTCTCCCAAAATGCCCAAAATGAAAAGTAATCTGGACCAAAATGTATTTCAATGTAGACATACTTTAATTAAATATAAATGGAAGATGCCTTATCATGACAGTAACGAAAATTATCAATATCTTTAACTCATTTTTATCATAATTATCTTTATATATCTGTCATTGTCAGAATCATTATGTGTATGACAGCTACAAATGTTACCAACAGAAATTTCCATTTTTGGTTTACATTATTGGTTTACTTACGTCTACCCAAATTCTACTCTGTAATATCTGTACTGAACTACTACATATGTTCAACTTGATACGGTACTTAAATTGTATTAAAAGCCACAATGTAAACCCTTGTCACACGCTGACATTGTACACAATTAATTATTTATGATCCAAGAAGCCTACTGTAGGGCAGCACAAGCTATATATTTGTGTCACCCAGGTGTTTTGTTTTGTAGCAGTTACAAAGTGCCATTGTTTTTTTAGCACAGCAGTATACGCAATCATAAATTAAACTGTGTGTGTCCATGCATGTGTGTATGTATGTCTATGGCTGTGTTCTATGTTAGGTCTGAGTCAGTGAGTTGATTTTGTACTGTGGGCAGCTGCAACTTTGTGGTTCGTGTTGACTTATGGGCCAAGAGGCAGACGCCCTACGCTACACACTGATCTCTACCATAATGTTGGCCACTACAGGCTCTTTGTGCCCCCTGTCACACGGTGGCATGAACTTTTATTTGGCTCTATCCAAGGCGGTACAGGCTCCTAGCATGCAAACGTACTGAGCCTAAACTGCATGATACATCTTTGACAGTAGAAATCATTTTTTAAGGGAAAGTTTGTAAAGTTTTAGCCAGCATGGCTGACTCCCTTAATTCTTCCCTTTCCAAATGCCTGTCAAGTGCTGGCTACATTCAGACCAATCTGATCAGACTGAATTAAAGACATGTGAGTCAGGCTTTCAGTGGAGCCATTTCACTTCATAAACTGCCTTACAGACTGGCACCAAATCCAAAGGAAAGGCTGCATTTTGGAATGAAAAGGCATGTGTCTGATATTTTGTAGATGTTTTGAGAAGCTAAATGTAGCTTTGTGGTTACAAATCTAACTGAGCTATATTTTGCAGATTCTCCTACCACATATGACATGAAAATGTCACCTAAAACCACTTTAGGTTGTAACTTGTTACATAAATGAACCCTAACTTGACTACTAGCCAGGCTGAGCAAATCATATGTGAGGCTATATAACCCAAATAGTTGTCACGAACACTTTCTGTTCACTTGCTGTGCTTTTTCATATCCTGCTTTAAAAAAAAGTTTATACTGTATGGCTATCTGTGCTGACACTGATGAATGTATAGTCTGCTGTAATGTCCAAATAGTCAACAAAGACTTGTAGTCAGTCCTTTTAAGCTGGATTTTCAAACACAGTTTTCACCTGATAGCAGCTCTATCTAAGATCTAACACTCTAACACGGTGTAATAGACGCATCCTAACCTTTATGTTATCCTCCCGGCAGCCATGACATAACCACCCAGGAAGTGTGGGTTTGCATGGCTGCTACGGTAACAAGAGTAGAGGAGGACAGAGGAAATATGAGCTTTGTGACGGAGCAGAACCGGAGCATTAGCCTAGGTCCTGACAGAACATAACCTTTCTCAAATGTCTACGCCATGGTGTACTGGCTACCGGTCCCAACACATTGCTAAAACCCAACTAGTCTTCTCTATAGTCTCCGCAGTCCCAGTAGCATCCTTTTCTTCCAGTGAATTAGGTAATCTTGCATCTATCTTGCACATGTTGCATGAATGAAAACAATGTATGTTTATGCTGTTCTCTTGCAGTTTTATATCAAAAGTCCAGTACCAGTACTCCCTGAAAACTAGTGCATCTTTACTGTTTCTCTCATGGATTAATGGTAAGCATACATGTAACCTCTAACCAATAATACCATTATTATTATTATTATTATTATTAGTACCTCTCAAATGCTAGCAACAAATAAAACTGCATTTCTAGTCCTAATGGTTATCCTATTCAGTTTAATTATTTCTCTCTGTCACTCCCACTTTCACAGTCCAAAAACAAAAAATACAGCCAATGCTAACAGTTCATTCAGTCTATCAAGTG